CACAAGCTTTCGGACAAGCACTGAGTATACAGTGTTTATTAATATATACGTTAGGTAAGGGCAAAACCCGTCATATAAATTTACATACATGTACATTGTCTTATCTATTGTATTTTATTGCTTCAGAGAACAATAAGGGAATGTCCTTTTAAAAGCGACATCGCTGAATACTACAGTTTATGTTTACATGTAAGTAGTACTTTGTAGTATTTAGGGCTGTTAGGATTAAGTACATGTACTATGATGATTTGTTTTGAATAGTGAAAATATTATTAGGCCCATCTCCATATACATGTAGGTGAAACACAAATTAAGGTAAACTTTGTTGTGTTTGGTCACGATGGTTATGTGCATGATGGCTCTTGTAGAGTGTAATTGCCCAATGCTGTCTGTTTATACAGGTAATGTATGTTTACATACGGGAAATCAATGATTTAGCAGATCATTTTGATGAAGTTTGACCAAGAGTTGTTGTTGGACCTTGTCGAATGCCTTACTGAAGTCTACAGTATTACAGTTAAGGCCAAAGAAAGTCTCTGATTTCTGGTCAGCGCGGGCGTCGCTAAAAAGTTTTATATAGCTGCCACACTTGCTTGATCGACTGGAATCCTGCTACTCCCTAATTTTAACATGTTGTAGATGGGGCACAGTTGTCCCTTTAGGCCCCCATACCTTTGGTCGGGCACTCTTTTTCAAATGACTTCATTTCTGTTTTATACATTCACATCTTGAAACCAGACAAATGAGGTGGTCTTATGTCCTGTGTAAATCTACAAGCTGAAACAAGGTGAGGGCAAAGAAAAAAAAGCATCGCCTCACCACTTTTGGAGCCAGCCCCTGAACAGAAACCGGAGACATTTTGGTTTTTTTTGGGGGGGGGGAGCCTAACGTGACCGCTTTGATCTAATGGTTCATCAGGGTCCTCACTTGTCAGATCATAGAAACCTGTTGTGGCTCACATGATCTGCCCTTACAGCACCTGTGTCAGTTATCTTGTAGTACATGTACTCCATGAGTTTCCCAGTGACCAGTGAAAGTATGACATGTTGTATTATGTGTTGGAGTGTTCACATACTCCTGATGCAAGTCAGAAGGGATGGTACTAGAAGTTATGGAAGATGGGTCTGCCTCGTCACGACTCTTGAACAAAGTAACAATGTCTTCATGAAGGCAGTCTGATGGCATTGTACCAGTATCCGGCTGTCCTTGATATACATATATATGTAGGAGATGAAGTGGTTGATGTGCATCACTTCAAACTGTGAGGTGATTATACCATAACGTCTAAAGGGCTTGCAATTGCATATTACATCTACGTGTATGTACATACAAAGCAGTTTTTCAACTCCATCTGTAGTTAACGTTACACGTAATGATGGAAAGTTCAGTAATTGTGGCAAGATCTGGGATGTGGTAGTCTGGTGGATGCCTTTGGTTGTAAAAACTGTTTAGCTCTATGCATGAGCTTTTTGGTTTGATGTTCTTGTGATGCCTTAAGTGCTATTGTCACATGAGGGTTAGTAACGAAGTGGTGGAAGTTTTTGCCAGAGACAATACAATAATCTTCTTACAAGTTTACAATTGGGAGTCTTTCCTAAGACTTAACAATATTGTTCAAGTTGGCCAGCAGCCAAACACATGCGTGTTCTGGAAGCCTACGGAGAGAGCTTTCTACGTGTAAGCTCGGTCCATGTTGTCAGTCAGTGTTGGGGCTCCATAAAGGGCTCTGATATAAAAATTGGTTTGCCAGCTTTGATGTGACCACTACACCAGGTTATTTCATAAACACTAACAAGACTTGGCTCAGCTCTTCAGCAGTAATCTCCACCTGTTTTACTGGTACGATCTTTGTGGACAGTACCTTACTAGTACATGTACGTTTCCCCAGAATTTATGTTGTTATTATGCCAGGATTTTGTTCCAATAACTGCATCAGGTTTTTCTGGGTCTAAAACTGCTTGGAATGAAGGGAATTATGCTGGAATACTTTAACAGTTGATGTTCAGGAATCAAAAGTGTTCAATTTGGTAAATCTGACTTCTGCTGTTTGTATCTGTTAGGCCTACGTACAGTTTACTTATTCTGTGTGTGGGCTCTGTCCAAGATCAATACTTCTGCGCAGGTCCAAGTTTTCAAAATGCCATCAAGAAAAGGACAACGTTTCACAGTTCACACAAGATCACCCAAGTGATGGATGTTCATTGTACTGGTTAAATACTATTGAACTCATGCTGATACATACGCGTACATACATGTACAGGTACATGTACTCTGTGATACCATTGACAACGTTGTTTAGATTCTGTTCCCTCATCATTCCAGCGCACTACTAATCCATGATATTCCAGTGAGTGCAGATGCTTAAATGGATTAAATAATTCATTATTTGGCCTTGGATTTGATTCTATATCCCCAGATTTAGGTAGAGGTATCATGTAGTTTGTGTCACAATATCAAAAGGTTCCTTCCTGTGTAAGTTTTGCATGGCAGCCACCTTCCCGGTCAGTGGGTTTGTTCCATGGGGATACACATGAGTAGACCTTTTGTTCAAATCCCACGTTTGCCAAAGCACTGACCAGGGCAATGGCTTGCATGCACAACCTCTGTAGATTCATTGTAATGCATTAAGGTGTTGAAATTTTGTTGTTGTTCGTGATAACCGCTTGTCTTTTCTTTTGGCACTTGGGTTTTGCATTCTGCAGATGTCAAGAAAAAAGCCCCTTTGCGGCCACCCAATCGGCGGCGTCATGAAGAGCAACTGGAACAACTCATGTCGAGAATACGCTCCCTCGAAGCTGAATTGGTAGGTGTAACATGCCATCATAAACATGCACATGTACATGTACATTCTCAAAGTGTAGCTGCACTGAAGTTTTCTTGGGCACTGTTTTTCTGCAACTTTACACTCTTCTTCAATGTACGTGTAGAAACCTCTTCTACGCTCCTGTTTGGTTATATGCATTGAAAAGTGCACTTGTGTAAATTCAAAATTATCCATTTTGGGAACAAATGAGGGTGCTGTTGCTGTGGTATCATCCAGGGAAGATATACATGTAGTTCAGGGCATAGGTTTTCTTGTGAACCCAGACTTTACTCACTGAAAACATTTCTTAAGAAGGGATCGATGCTTCCTTATTGTTATGCGTATAAACAATAAATATGCAAAAAAAAATTTCAAAAATGCAGGAATTCTTTGTGTACAAACAATGTAACATTGAGGCTTTCTGTCTTCCTGTGATGACATCACAGTTTTGCTCATGAATATGGAAATACTCATTAGTGTGAAACCATAATGCAGTAAAAGACTCTGAAAGAGTTTAACAGATACATGTGGAAAATCAGGTTGGGACACAAGGGTGTATATTTGAAGGTTTGTATTAGAACAAATTGATTGTTTCATGTACAGTTGGAGCTGTATGTGGCACATCCATGCAAAAGAACCTTTATTTAATAGAACATGATTACATACATGAACCTTTGAAAAGACCTTGCCGAGTATTTTTCAAATTGTAGTTGAGACTTCCAAATTGTCAGTGGGATGACCAGAAAAAGTTCTGCCTGTACATGTATGAGGGGCATAGGGAATACTTTTTGCTGTCACAAGTCTTGATAAATTTATCAAAATACAAAAATACTTCAAAATCTTTGTTTCCTGTTCATCAGTGTTTCGGAAACTTTCCAAGTACTTTCCCCATTTCAGTTTCTGTAAACCTTTAATTTGGGAGCTGGTTTTGGGTTAGATTATTATACATTGATATGTATTTGTGATGTTGCTTGTACATGTGTTCGGTGCCTAACGTCACAAAATGTAAATATTATGCAACATAACGCAGTCTGGTGTTGAATTGTAATAGGGTGTAAAGTGGAATGTTAGAGTAAACATGAATTTTAATTGGCAACTTTCAGAAATCTCTAGGGAGGCCTCAGCACGTGGATGGATTGTCAGAAGACTCCGACCAGAAAGATGTGCTGCTCACGGAACAGAAGAGATTGAGGGAAGAGAAGGAAGCTAGCATATCCAAGAGGAAGTCGCTGGATGAAGACTTGAAGGCCATCAATGAACAGATCTCCAAGCAGGTACGGTACATATTTGTGTAAGAATGAGCACAGCAACGTACAGTCGCCCATCATCGTTTGAGACAAAATAGGGCAAACATTAATCATAGTATGCAGTATGGAGAATTCATATTGTTATAGTCAAGTGAATTTAAAGAACTCAGTGTAGCAGAAATTATTCAAATTGAACTCGCAAAATGTGTACCAGTATTTTTGCATGAGACAGTACTTGTGCCACTTTCACTTCAGAAGTTCATAGCTATTTCAACAGCTTGTTTGGTAGATTTCAAGAGTCTTTTTATTTTTTTACAAATACTGCAGCTTTTCTTGCAGTTACAACTACAACTGTTATTTCCAACATATTTTTAATTTTTGCCATTTCGGTGTGATTGCCATGTGTATGTGATTACACAGCACAAAAACAATGCATGCACTCTACATGTAGGTACACATGTACATGTACGCACATGTACATGTACGCACATGTACATGTATATGCGCAGGGAATAGGTGGAACAGCCTGACAAGGTCCTGTAGATTTCGCATCAGTGAAAGTTGACTGTAGTCATCTGGCTTGCCATCTTGGTTGACCAGTGTGACTGTGGACAGGAGGTCTGGATGTGGTCTGTGCTTTGGATGTGATAAAGTTGAAGAACATGTGTCTTGAAGATTGAGGATTCAAGAATTGATGAATATTTAATGGACAGTGCAAGAACTGAATTTGCACATGTACATTTACCGCAGGAAAATCATCTATTTGTTGAGGTTTTCGTCTAACCTCAACGACTTGTTCCGTTAAGTAGTATCTAAATATTGTTCCCATGGTGAGACATGGTTTTAATTGAAACTAAAGAAGCACCAAGTTGCTGGGGTCATTGTTTCCGTCGTAATGATTGGAGTATGTGTGTGTGTTTTTTTCAGAATGATGCTCTTTCCAAAATTGACGCCGGACTTCAATTCAAGAGAGAGGCGGCAGTAGATGATGCAATTCATAAATTGGAGCATCAGCTTAAAACAAGGCATTTCAAACTCAGTGAAGAGAATCGCATTGTGAAAGAGATCGACAGCCTACGACGATCCAAGAAAAAAGTCATGTATGTTTGAAGTGATTTGTGGTATTCATGGTCCGATATATGCCTGCATTTGCAGTGTTTTTGTTGGTTTCTCCCAAAGTAAGCAGATAGGTGTTGGCAAGTTGACAGGTTTTCCTGCACCCTCCACAATGTTGGAACCATGGTGCAAACACAGCTGACACCAGCCATGTTAACTATTTCTTTTGGCATCTGTGTTGCCATAAATTCAAACACAAAAAATTTGAGTTTCGATAAACGTTTTATGAACTTAAAACGGTACCATAGTTTTCTATTCCTTTGTATTTACTAGATGTAGAAAGTGAGTTACATTGATACCGTATGAAGTTTTAGTTACTGTTTAATTCCCTCAAATGATTTGGAGGGTGATTCTCAAACGGTGCCTGCCTTGCAGGCTTGCACGCATCTCTCTTACATCAGCTTGGAAGTGGATATACGTCTCAACTGCATACTGTTCATTTGGCACTGTGTGCGTCTGCCATTAACTGACGTGCCAGGTTTTTTTGGGTTTCCACCTCAGAGAATATCAACAGCAGAAACAGCAGATCGAAAGTCTACGAGCCAGAAAGAAGACTGTGAAAGATGAAAGAGACGTGAGTATAAACATACAAGCAGTCCTGTGAGTCAATGAGTTTCCAGCTAACAAGTTCACTGCCAGATAATTGAACTGGTGAAGAGGGAACGAAGTTAGAGAATAATGGACCTTTGATGGTAAATGCACAAAGGTGTAATAATTCAAGACTTCAAAACGCCCTGGTTTGTAAAAGTGTAAGGGAAAAGGTACTTCAAATATACTTGGTTGATTTTCGTACTTGGCTGGGTACTTTTCTTTGTTTTTATTAACTAAGTTTTCATGTAACAGTGATTACTTGAAGTCATTTTTTTACTTTCTAATCTTACCTTGGTGCATTTACTGTCCAATGCCCATCTTCTTCAGCTGTGGTCCCTCTTTAATATACAGCTTCATGTTTGGCAGCAAACTTGCCACTCGAAAAGTACTCGACTACAACACTGCTTGAAAGTTACGTGAGACATTACAGTTTGTTATGCCATCAGTGAGCAGGTATAGAGTTCCGAAGTGAATACGTCACACGTACAATTAGTGTGTAAAAGGCATTAGTGCGAGAACCAGTGCGTGAACCAACACGCGCGCGTACTCCATTCGTTTGCACTGCACTTTCTGGTTCACAGTGACGTCACACTTCGATACTCTATTAGCACGTGTGGTACCAGATCGCACACAAAGAGGACTTTCTTGTTGGTAGCTTAGCTTTGGTTTACATTAGAAAGCGTAAGCTCTCTTTTATGGCATCCTGATTTAAAAATGTTGTGGTTCCTTTCTGATTTAATTTGTGTATGGTTCACTGAAGGCCTTTTAACACAAAAGTGACCTAGGTGGGTTATGACTCATTTTAGGCCGAGATATATATATATTACATCTGTATGTGCCCTCGTATTTTGGAATTTCAAGTTTATTTCATGTCGTTATAAGGGCATTTCCTATTAAAATAATACATTAAAATAATACATTAAAATAATAAATTAAAGTGACAGCTAACAATGAGATCTTAATAGATGATCTGAAAACTTAAAGCAATTCAAAGTGAAGTGCTCCATCAGCAAGGGTGCCATGGAAAAGCCAATTTAGAAGCGCATTGCCGGAAACAGTTGACAGTTATTTCCTTTGCACAAGGCTTAGACAGTTCAACGTGCAATTTTAATGGGACATTTTGCCTGCGAACAATAATGAGCCTAATTACAAAGTTGCAGATGTTTTTGTGATACCATACATGCACTGTGAAGACAGGATAATTATCTGTAGAATTGACTCTTAGTTGAAAGTAGCTGCCCAGGGAGGTGCAATGTATCGTAAATTAAGCTTATCATTAGTATTCACAGTGCAGAGATGTTTTTATTAAATGGTATGGTCTCATGATGGAATGGTCCAGGATGAGTGAATGTTATTCCAGAGGAGGAATGCGTCACAGTTGACAGGTGTTAAAATCATCTTAATATTGAAATGAATTTCAGAGATATGTAATACGAAACTGCTGCGAACTGCTTGCTGACTACAGTGACCTAAAATACAAATCACAAAATATGGAGGGCCTGACAGTTGGATCCTAGCAGAACCTTTCTCAAAGGAAAAAAAATTTAAATGAAATAACCATTGATTTGTCGTAAGTGTGTACAGTCGACTCTCAGTAATACACATTGGTGTTTGTTGCTATTCCTATGGAATGTAAGTGTTCATTTCTACAGAGTCTGTGCGTCGGCTTCACAGTACACTGAATGTATTTGTTGAATTCTTGACCTTTATGTTGTGTTCTCTGTAGAAATATTTCCGCCTTGTGTCGTCACTGAAAACTAAAGAGGATGAAGTCAAGCAGCATCTGAAGACGAACAAGAGCAAGATTGACGAAGCCTGGAACAGATACCGAGAGGCAGGCCCTAAGAGAGAGGCTCTCAAGAAAGGTCAGTTACCGAGGGCGCCATCCTACACGGACGGGGTCAAGGTGCCGCTTTGACTGGGAAAAAGGTTCAAGTTAAAAGTTAAAAGCTTGTTGTTTGGAACTGTTGCCTAGGTGTGCTTTATACATGTCCAGTTGTTACTAGTCCATGTAACTGATTCAGCCGAGCTGACTGATTCAGCCCTGCCTCTCTTGCTTACTTTTTTATGTCTCTGGTGCATAGATTTATTCGTACAAAGGCTTAACCCTGACTCCCTGGAGTGGTTTACTGGGAACCTTCCTCATCCTTGAGAACTCTGTTTATTTGTGGTACATGTATGCCTCATCCCACATAAAACAGTCTGTTTACCAGTGCGGTATTTATCCTAACAGATTCCAACTCATCATTTGGGATTTGTGCCCTGCTCAACGTATATTGTAACCCAGTATGCTCTGTGTTTCCTCTGAAAGCTTGTGAAAAAAAAACCCCACAAGCATCCTCCTTTGGGACTTGAACCCATGACTTCCTGCTTACTAGTGCAGACGTCTTAACCACTCGACCACCGAGCTTGCCAGTGTCGGCTGGCTGGTGCAAGTCAGATATAGCAGTGGGTACCACAAACAACAAATCCATCCTTAGAAATAGATTCCATCACGCTCTGGTGTTGGAGTTTGGCTGGTTTGGGATCGTAAGGGCTAAGCTTCAGGCAACTTTTTATCGTGCAGCTGGACTCAAAAATAGATTCCTGAGCTGCTTTCTTCGATTTCTTTCGCAAGATGGAATGTCAGTCATTATCATGGTGTGAACGAAGAGTTATCTGCCTCGCATGCCAAGTTTTACACAGTACATTATAGGAATTGTCTTGAAAATTGATTTCTGATGCTTTTAACTCTGAAGTTTGTCTTTTGGGGGATTCTAGGTACCAGTCTAAATAGAGTCATGCAAAATGATCCTTAGTTCAATATACATTTGCTGACAATTGTTGAACAATGAATAAGCCTCAAAGTAACTCTGCTAACCACATCTTAGAAAGCCAGTTCGTCATAACAAAATCACATTGCCCTTGATTGGTCATGCCTGACCCAAACATCATCTGCTTTCATCAAATAAACAAGGAAAAGGTGAGCTTTTACAGTCTTAGCTTATTGAAATTGCACTGATAAAGGAAGAGAAGCACTGGAAAGGGGGGACAAATATTTCCCACGATTTTTTTGATAAATGATTTTTGATGTGACTTTTCTTTCATCTAGAAATTGACGAGCTGTATGAGCGCCGCCGCCAGCTGACCGCCGAGTTCAGACAGCAAAACAGCAAGTATCACATCCAACAGAAACAGCAGCGAGCAGACAGCTTCAGACGGAAGGAGGAAGAGAAGAGAGCACTAGAAGAAGCACGAAAGAAAGAGTGGTAAGGAAAAGATGGCCCACTTTGGAACCTACTGGCATTAATCTTGATGATTCAGAGGTTATCCGGAGGGGATGAGGAGGGTGACAAGTTCCCCCCCCCGATACATGTTGATTTAGTTCAGCATTTTTTTAGACGCAGTATTATCACCTGATCTAGGGGGAGGGTTCTTCTTCGGGTGAAGAAATTGAGTCTTTTGGGAGAAAAACCGAAGACCTGCATATGTCACTGTGATGATATAGTCTTGGCCCAGGATCAGGGATCAACCGATGATCGGATCAGACATCGGATCGGGCCGATGTTTGCCAACATCGGCAAAACATCGTATCGGCAAAATTTAACCTTCCTTGCCGATATGAGTGCCGATGTTAAATTGAAGAAAGGAACCAACTCTGCGCTCCGGTTTGGCAAACGCCAATCTCATACTTTTATTTGAGCATGAATGAAACTGTGGCTTTTTCATTCGCTTGGAAAAGATCGACATGAATCTAATCCATCCGGATGCTTCTTGCATCACACAAAAATGTAATGAAAAGTCGTTTTAACTGGTGAAATTAAGATCAGTGTCAGTTTGTGAAAACAAAAATACACGGAGTGCGCGGCAAAAGTGTCACACTGCACCGGGTGCCAGTTCGTGAAAACGAAAATACCTTGGTTCTCTAATCTGTGCATAAATTGCATCACCTCGCGTGCATAGTTCGTGTGTCTCTGACGATTTGTATTTGTTTATTTGACTTATTTCCTCACTTTCATCTAATACTACAGGCAGGACTATGAGGCATCCCGTCAACCCTATGAAGATGAAAGGCAGTTATGTGCTGCCCTGATTAAATATCTACAGCGTTATCTGACCCCAGATCAAGAGCTTCCCCTAGGTGCGTCGGCTCTATCACCAGGTTAGATTAATGAGTACAAGACAGACTGTGTCGGCATATATCTGAGATGTAGCCCTGAACTGGGCTGATGTGGACCACTTCAATTCTTGAAGTTGTTTTTTTGTGACAGGTTGAGTTAGTACTTGAAACTGATCCTAATTCTCCCCCCCTCCTTGTTGGCCATTGTTCCTTTGAGTCGTATCGTCAGTGCTAAATATATTTCTGCTATTTAAAGCAAATTTGCAGTGTTCAGTAAAAGTGTGGAAAATTTTGGAGCCAAGGGGGATGTTTGGCACAGCAGCGTTATACGTAGCTATACATTTAAATGTGAACACATACATGTATGCGCATGCTTCTATTTTCAGCCTCATTTGCAGATTTTCACTTACATACTAGGACAATCTTGAATTCTGAAATGGTAAAAATCAGTGAATGCATTCTGGGAAACGAGAGAGACAGAATCAGTGGGTGAGATGTTATGCATTAAAATGTCAGTTACCGATTATGTGCATCATATGTATCGAGTGACAAACAGTGCAAACCTACTTTGGGTCAGGTTCGTGGATATTCCAGGAGTAGTGTATTTGACTTTGCCAACTGAATTACCGAAGACTGTAGGGGCTGTGTGTGGCTGCTCTCAATGGTTCCACGTGGCTTCATTTGCATTTGTAACCACTTTTATTGACAGTGCAATCTCCTACTGTATCCGTTTCCTCTGCAATCTGTGGGAGAGATGAGGAGTCAGTGGTAAACTATGTCATCCTGAAGAAAAAGACCAACGACAATGATGCTTTCCTCCCAACAACCTCAGCCAAGAAGAAGCGAGCCATCAGGAAACACAACCGCAAGTCATCCTACCCGGTAGGTGGCATTCCGTCCACTGAGGTCATGGATCTGCACAGACCCTGTAGGTTTAACCAGGCATGCAACTTTGCCACACAAAAATAATATCCGCGTTTTGGGCTTGTTTCTGTTCGCGCGGTGGCGCTGGCCGCGCCAGCGAGTGCGCACGGAGTTCCACTTTTCGGAACACATTAATGAGCACAAATACCTCATCTGGCCCCTTGTTTTGTGCATACGTAAAATGCACTAAAAAATACAGGACACAGACTCAGCACCGTACGTGCAAGTGCCCTCTGTTGACGACAAGCCAATAGTCCGGTGCCGCATTTTTTCCTGACGTTAATGAAAACGTCGTTATATGGATACTATACCATTAGAAGCGACCGGCCACAAACGTTGAAAAAATGCTGTTGTCAACGTGCATTGTGATCGTCGATCACCCATGCGTCAAAACTCAAAATGACTTCCGAAAGGAAGGTTATCACTGAACGTGATGGACAGGATATCAAAACCATTGATAAAGGCATAAAAAATGCTTGGAAGTGGTACTGGTTGGAAAAAGCAGTTGATGGTGTTCCTCTAGCTGAAGCTGTCTGAAAACTGGATCGGCCAGGCATGGCATATTGCTTGGTATGCAAAAAGGAAATGGATTACGGCAGAGGTGGACTTGTAACGCTGACCGATCAGATGGTAAAAACATCCAAAAGAAAGATCCATTAGACAAGTGGGAATATGAATTTTATGTCACAGGTTTATTTCATAGAATGTACCTCTCATAATAAAAAGATCAAAAAGAATCACAAATAAGAAGCATTTTGTTTATTCTTAATGTAAAGTATACCATAAAAAGCTTTATATCTGTCACTCAAATTTCACTTCAACTGGGGCCAAAAACTGCATAGAATGCTCCACAGAGTATGTAAAATTCAAAATTTTCTGGGGCCCCTGAGGCAGGCCCAGACCCCACGCCGAATTAGCTTTGCACTGCGTGCATGCAGTTTTGTATGCAAGAATATTTTCTTCTTTTTTTCAAATTGAAGAGTTGCATGCCTGTTCAACCCCAACGCCCTTGGCTTTTGCATTAGGTTATGGTTAAAGTATTGATGTTGCTGCTAGGCCTACATGGCCCTGGGGCCTTTCAAACAATACAGCAGGGCTTTACCATCTGCTGAGCTTTGACTTCAAGAATGGAGCTCTTCATTTTTCTCGTTCAGATTTTTTATCTCCTGCACTTATTGCCAGTCGGTGCACATGTCACCATTTTCAAACATGAAAGAATTCACTACTGGGTTGTGTCTTATGATGCTTGCTTCTGAAATGTCCTAGAAGCATATATACAGGTTTTTAAATACATTTGCTGGTTATATCCACAAGCCAGTGGTGAGCTGGCTTCATGGTATTACACCTCTGGCTGAGTGCAGCTCCGGTAAGATAGGGTTAGTATTGTCAGTGTTAAGAAAATGTCTGGCAGGGGTTTTCCGTCTGAAACAGGCTTGTAGAAGAAGAATGGAGAACCTGCAGTGTGAACTGCATAGGGCGATGCCTGCACGTTTCCCTCACGGAATATTAGTCTGAGCTGATATTGGTCTCCCAGTATAATGCATGTTCATTGGATTTTATCACCGAGGGGGCAACCGGGGAAGGTGGACTGGCCTCTTCATTCATGTGACGCAATGCTCTTTTTGTTCATGTTTTCCAGAGTAAACCAATAAGTCATACACCATCGACCTTCAGCCAATTTGAGACCTTGGGTCTCCGTGCTCCGTCCTACATGTCTGAAGTATCTGATGCCATTGACCAGCTTATTGCTAAGAAGGTGAGTCCTTGTATACGTCTCTGTATTCTCTCCTTGGGATTCGTTGGAGCGTCATACTTGTAGTTATAAATTTGTGCATACAAGCAGTTATTACCAAAATCTTTGTGCTTAGATTTCTGTTACGCAGTAATTGTTTGCTTTGACATGATTCCTGGTGTATTTTTGCCAAATGAGGTAAATTCAAGCCTGACGTAAATGTGGTTTTAATCTGGAAGAATTTTGGGAATGGTGTGCATTATTTTAATGCTCTGATACCGTCACACATACTCTCAGGTCATTTAGGCATAGATCGCTTCTTCCATCACCATAGCAACGTAGTCCACTGACTGCATAAAGTACCGAAGCGTGACATTATTCGAACCAGGAAGTGTAGTGTATTTGAATGAAATATGCACACGTGTTGGTTCACATGCTAATGCCTTTTCTGCCTAAGTGTGTGTATGGCATATTCATCTCAGTACACTACACAGTACTTGTCAATTTGCCTGGCGCTTGAAAATGTTTTGCTGAAGGTAAATGACACGTCTGAGCTCATAGTGAGTAATCCAGCTTGAGTGTTATGGTTTTTCCCTGGGGAAGAGTTTGCAATTCATTCATGATACATGTACATGTACACAGGTGGGTCAACTTTAAGCTCCTAGGCCTTTCTGCCTTGGTGAATCCTCAGTCCTTCGAGATCCTCAAACTGCCCCCATGAATAAAATCGGGTGCAGCCCCAACCCTCCAAAATCCTCTGTTATTTCTTGACAGCTACTGCCTCAAATTTCCAAAATCCCCCGACAATTCCCAATCATTTAGGTTGAGGCAGTGCAAATGATATCCTGCAGCAGGTTGGATAATGTCACGTACAGCCTTGTGACGTCATGCATGGCTGAGCATATTAAAAAATAACAAGGTCTGAACAGAATGTTTAGTTCATGGGGATGTTTTGGCTTGGTTCCTTTGTGACCATTGATGCATGACTGAGGGGTGCTGGGAGTTTCAGTGGAGCATGTCAGTTTCCTGTTCAAACTCGGAGGATGGGATTGGGACTGCTGTCATGCGCTATGGATATGGGAGGCTCATTGGTTTGTTGGTACTGCAGAAGTGACATGTGACTGATATGAAAACTGGCACCTGTGGGGACTATGTTGAGTTCACTGATCTCGGTACCTTCTCAGATATGGCATGGGTACCAGCGGTTGTTTGTGACAGTAAGCATGGCTCCTCTTCTGCCCTGTGTTCTCCGTGGATGTCGTTAAATCACATGATCAAGAAAGATACGATGATGAAGTACAGTACAGATGCCAGCTAAACTTATCTGTGCTGTCATTTGACGATGCCCTTTGTAAACAGATTGTATTCACAAAAGACGCGAGGGATCCATCACCAATTTAATGAAGACTTTTCAGAACAGTAGGGAATTTCTTTGTATCAATGCAACTGTAGTGTTGGAAGCCATGCATGAATAACATAACCTGCTGTTAGAAGGTTTAGGCTGTTGGTTAATGTTGGTAGAGATGTATTCAGGATGACTTCAAGCATGTAGGGAGGGATACTTTTCCTTGTTTTGAAGACTAACTTGTGGGGTCTAGTGTCCTTATAGCTGCGCTTTGTTTCTTGTATCCCATAAGGAACCACAGGTAAACCATATCCCATGGGGAACCGTGGGTAAGCCATACCCCATAGTTAACCATAGGTAAGCCATATCCCATAGGGAACCGTGGGTAAGCCATACCCCATAGTTAACCATAGGTAAGCACACACACTGTCATGTTTTATCATACACGTACCTTTGAGTACAAAATATTGCATTGACTTTTATTTCCTACAACGCTCCAAGTAGGGACATGTAGTGAGGAATGTTGTGAATACTGTCTGACATGATAGTGGTTTCCATTTCAGGAGGAGTATGAGAATGCATGTAAAGGAGCCAGTTCTGCTAGTCAGAGAGCATTGGGAGCAGCTGCTGGCCAAGAGACCAGTACCACATCAACCTTCTCATCAAGTGCCTTGGCCCATCAACCTGTGATGTCTAACATCCATGTGGATTCGCATGGCTCTAACGAGGCCTATGGCAGCAGCCGTCATTTCAACTTGATGAAGCTAGCCAGCAAGCTCCCACGCATAGACGTTCAGAGTGCTCAGGACCACACCAGGCAGCAGCAAGCAAACAGTACCCCTACCCCTGGGGTGGAGTCAGCGCCGGAAACGCCCAACAGCGAGGGCAGCGCACCGAGGGAAGCCGACGGGGACTTGGAATCTGTCGACTCAGGGATAGGGATACAGAGGTCCAAAGGATTCACTTCGGCCCTCCCACCTACCCGCATCAAGCAAGATGACAAATACATAGACACCCGTGCAAAGATATATACATCTCCAGATCGTAATGATCAAGAGCCTGTATCCCAGGTGCCCTCAACTACCCATAATGCATTGCCACAGTCACATGATCCCACAGAGGAGTATATAGAGGAAGGTATTGCCAGTATTCTTGAGAAGAAGCAGGCACCGTTTAGTCACAGCAGTGATTTAATGGTGCAGGAAACATGATGATGCAGTGTTTTAATGCAGGTATGTTTGTATATAATGACGCACAGGCCGAAAGCATGTCAGGCTGACCTTTGACCTTGCCTGTACATCACCCTCACATTATCATGATTGACAAGTGTTACCCTGTGGCAAGACAAAAATTCAAAACTGGGCTGGGAAATTTCCACATCACATTGATGTGTGGCCTTCGATCATATGGTTGGGGGTTCGAATCCAGCAGCTAGTAACGTGTAGTGACCTTTAGCAATTCACTTTTCCCCTACTTACCTCCTTCCACCAAGGTGCACAAATGGATGTCTGTCGTGAGGGTAGAGACCTCACATGTGCTGGACCTGGGCTGTCAAATGGTCTGGCCTGATGAAGCTGCTGATTATCGTAAAGCACGCTAAGATTGAAAGTACAATTGAAAGCGCAATATAGAGATTACAATGATGACTGCAGTTGTTGACCATGTTCACAGCTGAACACTTGCACTAAAAGAGCGATTGCAGTTGAGCGTTAGGATTTTTACATCGGTAACTGAGTGTTTTGGATAGAAACAGCAACATCGTCAGTGGTGTTTGCTGGAGAGCACCTGCATGATTGGCAATTAGGATAAAAGTGAGAGAGTCAGTGTTAGTTTTTAGCTGTGATGTGGTTCACAGTGCAAAGTTTTAAATGACTTCACATAAAAGATTCTGTATGAATTGTAAGTGCCTGAGGCAGTGTAACCCTTGTGATTGGATTCCGGTCTGTAATGCAGTGACTGGGTCGTTAATAAGAGTTGCAAATCAATCGTGGCCAGATATATTTATATCACTTATCCATGAGACAGAGGGTTGCATCTAGTATTCGTGTAAAATAGCCTGATTGTCCATGCCTGTGTCAAGCACCATCGAAAAGCAAAAATCAGTTATGCTGCACCTCCCCAAACCCCCGGTTGCTACTTTTTGGAGACAATGCTGTTGTCTTGACAGCACGACAGTTGAATTTGAAGTACTTAGCCAACAGCCAGCATGATATGTTTTCCTCTGGGTATCTTTTGCGTGGATTGGAGGTGTAAGAAAGACCGACATGTCATTTTCTATCAGACCTCCTTTGGGCATCGCCGTAGACCATCAATACATGCACATTGAGCAACCAGTTAACAATGCCACAAGTTTTTCATGCATTGTATACTCTCATCTTCATCTTTATCCCGTCTAGGTCAACTCGCGCCTCCAGTATTACTTGTACTTGCAGGTCAAAAGACTGTTAGAAATTTTTTCTAAATTACCATTGGATTTGTGAAATACAAGCAGTTGTAAAATATGCACTTTTAAAATAGTTTGATTTTATTTTTTAGGTGCACAAACAAGTGTGTTCACGAGGACTTTGGACCTCACAATGCAAATTTTATCAGCAGATTGTACTGTGGAAGGATCTGTGTTGAGATTTCACAAAAATCTAGAGAGAAATATATATTCTCTGGTAACAATTTTATTGAATTCATAATATCAATTTGCACTGAAAATGTACGTGATTGGAAACGTACATGATACATGTAGTTGCCTGACTGTTCTTACAGTTGGAAAACAAGTAAACATGAGCTACGTGTTAAGGGTGTTTAACAAAAGTGAGAAGATTCTACCTGAGTACACATTACTACAATGCATGAATTTGAATACCGCACAGATGCAAGGATCATTTCATTGACCATTTTTTCCTGGGTGTGTGCACTCATTAAACTATAGTCCCAAAATGCTGCTTATTTGTACTCTAATAGTGCTACTGGGTAAGGGAAAGGAGTGTGTTGGTTTCAGATAAACCAATTGCCTTGTTTCTATGGAACGTTTTCGAAAAAGTCATCACTCAAGAGGTTATACTTGCGAACACTTTTCACAAGTTTAAAACAGATGAGTCCCTTGTTAATTTGAACCTCCTTTGAAAATATAAGTAGCTGTAGCTAGGCTGTGTTATATATTTGGCTACAGTGGATTAAGATCATAATGGTATTGGTGGATTAAAGATCGTAATGGTTTGGTAATGGTTTTTGCCTTCAGGAATTGGCAAAGCCACATCTATCCCAAATGCACAAGCCAGTTTACTCTCTCGTTACACAGTACATAATGATGGATAGAGTAGGCGTAGTTTTTGGATAGGCGGCAATTTTCAAATGCGCACTGGGTCAAGAGATTTCGCGCATTGTGATTGGCCAGCGCGTTGCAAACTCTTGGAGGCGCACTTTTGCGAATCGCCGGTATTGAGGCTTTGTTTGGCAGCTTTCCCACTATACAGCCGGGAAATGATTGGCTCACAACCACGCAGAAAGAGCAGGGGGATTCTCTTGGGAATAAAAGGTGTTTTTACTCAATTTTTTGGGTTTGGAGGCTTTACTGTTACTTGATCATCTAATTTTATTGTAGAACCAGTAAGGTTCTTCACCAGTACCCACTGTTTAAAATTGCTGATCCATTTTTGGTACAGTGTCAGCTGGGGGAGGGGAAGTCAACAAAAGCATTCTAAGAAACAAGGAGATTCCAAGAACTCTGCTGCTGAGATGTATGGGAATTTGCCTGGTTGTTGGTCATGTCAGCAAGTGTTTGGCTGCAGGTGTTTTTATTTCCTGAGTTTATCTGTTTGAGATCGCTTGGCATGCAGTGCATTCTAGCTTATTGTTATAGGCTAGATCCTATTGCACCAAGATGTTGAAATCTGGAGACTGCCAACATAGGCCTGGATGGCTCTGATGATCATAGTAATGTTTGTAACGCTAATGAAATTTACCTGTTGTTCATAGATTTCCCCCAGATTCGCCCCTGTTTCCTATTTCTCCCAAAACACCAACTTTTCCCCAATAGATTTTTTTAGCAATTTCTGGAGATCAGGTCCTCAAAACCACAAAAGGTGTGGTCCAGGAACACGCCAGTGAAATTCTGTAACACAAAGTCATGTTTGTGAAAAAAAATCATGGTGTGGAAGTAAACTTCTTGTGAAATTGTTTTTATGTGGGATCATATGTTTGTAATGACAGAGGGGACTGTGAGGAAAGCAGTAGTTCAAACTCACAATCTGTAAGGAATAGTGTAGAGCATACACTTCACAAACTGTGGTGTTAGTTTAACACCCTGAGTGTTGTCAAAGGAATGCCCCACACTGGATGTTGTCCTCTGATAAAACCGAAAGTGCTAAACTATCACCAATTCAACACCACAGTTTCTGTTGTGTACTCATTTTACTCATGTTTTTCCTTTAGACGAAGGGTTTCACATGTGAAGTGGTCTGCCTTGGGATTCTTTGATCACTGTAAGAAACAGTTTATTGGTTGTCACGGATTCTTAAATGAATGTATTCAAAGTAATGTTCATACATTATACCGTGTACATGTTCATGTAAATGTAAAATGCAATATAGTCGGATGTTTCTTGTAATTTCTGCAGAAGTCAGTGTACATGTAGCTTGTGAGTGGAATTTGGATTGGTATGAGGACCAATCGTTATTTATTAATGAGAAATACTATGTGTTGATATATGATACTTTCTTGAGTAATTTATACCAGTGTTATTCCTGTACAGCCAGCAATAATGCTGTTTTAGAACAACCTGCAGCATTTTTAACCTGATGTTTCATTTAAATATTAAAATGTTTTACAGGAAAAATGAAAAAATATGCGAAAAGAGTGTAAGACTAATTTTTTTTAATCGTATTATCTTGAATACTGTTTAATATGCACGCAGTCATCTGTCATGTCTTAGGGCGGGAATATCTTCCCACTGTAGCCGGGTATGAGCCTTGAGCTGTACCAAGAGAAGGCAGAAGTTTCTTGGCAACGGAGGCTCCTTTGGTCCGAACCAAAGATCGTCTAGCGCCGCTTCTTGGTACAAACTGAATTTCACTGGTTCAAAGTAATGCTCATACATTAAGAAATGCACGCGTTACGGTGCAGTCGCATCGCTACCAACAAAATGAACACTCCGACCAACATGGCTGTTTTTCAACTAATGAGGGAGGTGCTTCTACTCGAAGCGGATGGCGGTCATGACTGGGCCGTTCTGTATGGTGCTGAGCGACGATACCACAGCAGCTTGGGTTGTGACGACGCGACCACTTGATCGATTTCCCCATCAACGTTACCTCAATTTAGTTAGGATTTAATCCGCCTTCCAATGAACATTGAACTCGTTAGGAATGATGTTTATCCGTATGACCTCAAGCACCCACGAGCAAAGTAAACCTATTTTATCTTTTACGCTGATGATTATTTCCCATTGGAACAATGTACCCTCTGCACACCATAAACAGGGCGAATCTTCTGAAATCACTTCTAACGTTCACTGAATAAGTGACTCGCTCAGTTACAATAACGAGCAGAAATTTGGGGGTTGAATCAACTTTGATGGTCTGTTTGACGTCCCTCCTGCGTCGTGCTGCAGTGTCTTGCCTTCGCTCTCTACGTTGCAAATCACCATGTTTTAAAAAAAATGTCAATCCCGACGATTAAAATCGGCTCTTGCAAGCTGACCATAACAATAGCTTAGAGGTCAAATGCAGCCCAGAATGAAAGTCCAAAATTGGATGAGGATAATAAAATTTAAGGAGAAACTAGCTCGCCTCGGCTAGCTTAGGACCCACGCCTGTACCTCTTTAATAAAGCTACCTCCAGCATTTGAACCTTTGCACATCTCTTTTGAAAACATGCGGAAGGGTCCAAATTGTTTCCAAGAGACCTGATCAATAGTTTTCCTTGGCTAGCCGAGCTCAGTTCATCTTTGTTAACTGCACAATAGTAACAATTAATATGCTGTTCCCTTAATATGTAGTAATTTGGCTTCAGGAAATTTTATAAAATGTAAGATGCACTTTGCTCTGAGGACTCGCCGATCTCCTCGATGTTTTCATTCCTTTTTTTTTTGGTGGAGTGGATGGGGTGTGTGAACACCTCGAAAACACACCCCTTGCGTACTCCACCGAATATATCAAGCTAGGCAATTCTCTTTGAAATTAAATGGATTAACACATTTACACATTAAAATCTGTCATTCTCCCTTTAATGAACACGTACTTTGATTTGGATTTTGTTTTCTGTTTCGTCTTTTTATCAAGACAAACAAACAAGCTTTAGATATCAACCATTTAAAAAAACCATGTGTCAATCTTGTATTCACTGCGCAGGGCTTAATTTTCTTATTTTGGTTGTCAAATCGATAATTTTAAATGGATATATCCAACGTTTAAATGAGACTAGAAATTAATCTAACATCGTTCATTTAATCTATCATTTGTAAACTCGACGTTAGGTTTGCTTGCTACTTATTAAAATTCTGTATCAAAGTATTTCATGGTCAGGTCAGAACGTTTGAAGCAGGGCAAAATACGTTACATGTCACAATAAGGTACTGATGACCTTTGGTCAACTCGGTTCCTTGCTTCGTGGTTGGTTTGATGTTGTGGCCGATTTTTTTTCATTGTCCATTTTATTCTATCCATTCTGTGCATAGCAATGGAAGTAGTGCAGTTGTTCTCTTGCCCTTCTGCCATCATACCTACACCCGTGCAGTGTGTGTAAGATGTAGCCTACTTGTAGCGCTAAATTCTCCAGGCCTTCGCTAGTACCCAGAGGACGCTCAACTAGCTGGGAGCAAGGTTAAAAAACAGAGTGCGTGCTATCGTAAGGAAAACCTGCGTGCATTCAAGTTCATGCGCGTTACACCAAAGTCTTTGAGCGGGTTATCCAAACCCGGTAGGAATATTCCCAAGACCGGGGTATCACAAAGTCCAGTCTTTTGTTCTAGCTCTTCCTCCATACTGTAGGCTGCATCCTCTATCAACTCTTTGTGCTCAGTGATGCTCCTCTGAAGTCTCAACTGCTGAATCTCACTGCGCAGGCGCATTAACTGCATAGCTAACACGTGGTCCTGTGACTTCATTGCTGCCTAGATTCAGGGAAAAAAGACAAAATTTCGATGGTTAGTCCATTGCATGAATATTTTTACAATCCAACTGGAAATTACACAGCGTAAATGTTTGCAAACAGACAGTTGGGAAAGTTAGGTCCCCCCGTCAACCACAACCGCTCCAGGTGTCCCTCCCAGAAAAATAGTTAAAGGACTATCTCTCTTATCCTACGCTGGAAAGCTGTGAGAATGAAAGCAGCTTTTGGAATGAGTATTTTTAGGTTTGTAAAAATCTCCCGTTGGTTTCAGATTTTTTGTTGAACGCAATATTGTTTTCCCGAAAATCGTTGGTGGAAATGGGCTTTATAGATGCTCATATTCTTGTCATGCCGAACATGTAACAAGTTTAACAAGTGGCTAAGCCACCTTTAATTTCGCTTCAGTAGAATAATTACGATTGTCACATTCTGATTTCATATTCTCGTGTTCTTATTCAGATATCTAGTCCCTATAAACAGATTCCTCGTCGTCTGGTAGTCTTGTTATCTCTCCTCATTTTCCTGGTTATTTTTTCTGGTTTATTTCCCCCACGTTATTTTCATCTTGCTGCTCTTGTTATAAATCTGTATAGAACTCAGACCCTATGTCTCTGGTTAGTGCACAGACTTATTTTTTGCTATACGTCCCCAGTTGAATAAACTATCTTAATTTGTGAGCGACCTGCGAGACTGCTTCCACCCGCGAGTTCTTATCATCTCACTCCCAAAATCTCACTTTTGTTTCGATCACAACGTTTAACAGTGGAATTCCTACACGCAGGTAATGACGCATGGACTTGGAAGGCATCTGATCTTTCAGTGCATGCTTTGTTTTTTTAGCACCATGATAAATGTTGTACTTGAGCGACAATGAAAACACCGTGCTTTTCTAGCAAAGCGGGAGATCTCAGGACACTCCCCCGAACACTCTGCGTAGGTGTTCCGACATAGCCGGCACTGTTTGTTTTCAGGGGAAAAAACAAGGAGAGGATAGCAGTTGACAGTTACGAATGTGCTCCATGTACGGGGATCAAAGAGAAATGACCAATTTGATTGGCACACCACCTGCTACTGAAATCACCAGATCATATTTCATGGTCTGCACCAGGTTTTGATCTTTACGTTTCTCCATGTTATCTTTCATACTAAACACACAGGTTTTGTTTAATCCCGCGATGTTTGAACCTGACCTGTATCATTCAGGTTATCTATCCTGCGCTGCTGGGTGGGTTCCATTTTAACCTCCAAAAAACATTTGAGCAAACATTTGTTCGCTTCAAACGACATTTTGACGATTGTTTGGTAAATAAGATAACACTGATTATGTAAATATGGACCCTTTGACTCAGTCCTATCTGTGTGTGCGTGTGTGACTTCTGAAGGCGATCATCAGGAGCCATAAAGGAACCAACATTTACGGCCGAAACCGGTAGTTACATCGCTGCGTGAGACCATGTCAATACTGCACAATAATCACAACACCCAGACGTACGCAGTAAATGCTTTCATGCTTATAAACACTCAGCATAATTTCTAGGAAGGGCGCCAAGTTTTTCACTACATGATGAACCCGAGTAGTCATAATACTGGATCGTATGTCTGATCGTAGAGCAAGGACACAGATCGGATAGTCTTGGGCATATAAGGGCGCCATTTTATGGTTCTCACACTTCTTTGGCTTTATGGAGGAGGGTCGATCGGTCGAAAAAAATACAAATCTCGAGTAAAAACTCATTCGACTTTTTCCAGTATAGAGCCTATGTGCGTTTGTTCACGGGTAACTACTTCGCACACCGTTCGGGGGACTCTGTAGGCCTATGTTTCAGATTTCGGACTTTTGGTTTTCATGTGAAAAATTACAGCCATTTCTAACTTCACTTCTTATTTCAAACAGTCATACAAATGAAGCCCTGTTAGCACTTGATCGAATTGAAAACGCGTTAGCCTTCGATGCGGCGGGGACCAACTGAAAACTGAAGTGTTGAATCCAACTTTTACAAAATTAATGCTTGTCAGTGACTACTCTGAAATGTTGAATCCAGCAAAGGTTAAATTCAACAATTACAGGGGCCTACTGTTAATTTAGCAACTTAAATAAAGTGGTTGAGAGTTGAATTTAACTCTTAACATGCTGGATTCAACACTTTCAAAGTGTGAGAATTGCCCGAACTTTTTTAAGTGTTGGATTCAACACCAGCTTTCATAGAGAGTGTACCGCTCCACTTTTTACAGTCTGCCACATCGTAGTACTGTATATAATTTTGCGGGAAATGCGAACGCCCAAAGACTGGTCATACTGTATGTCTGCGGTTTTTCCACGGAATTGGAGTTTCCTTTTTTCATTACTTTTACTCGGTCAGAAGTTGCAGACAGGGTAGGCGGAATAAAAAGTTTCATTTTCCCTTGGTCGGGAGCCAAAAATAGGGACGGTCGGAAAAGAGAACCATAAATATTAATGAAAAAGGGACGTCCTAATGTGCTTTAAGGCCTTGTCTGGTGAAATAGGGAAACTTTATATCAACATCCGACTGAATCGTACCCTCCGATGAACCCACAGTCTTTTGTCCCAACTTCCGAGTGCCTATTGTCATTGACACGCAGGGTTTTCATTTAATCGCCTTTTTCTGGTCAAAGGTTGAAGTTGGATAGCACCTTGAGACGCAGGTCACTAGAAATTGTTTTCTTTTGAAAATATCTGATATTCCATATGACCCTTTACAACAGGTCGACTTCTTTTGAAAATTGCTTACCAGTTCATCTTTGATCCAGTTGATAGACCGTTGCAATTCCTCTTTTCTCTCAACTTCTGTTTTCTCGCAACATTCTAAGCATCTCCGCAGGCCAAACTGATCGTCGGAGTCGGAACAGTTACCATTCTGTAAAAAGGGTGGCTTGTCCAAAGTGGCTCTCCACTCGACGATGGACGGGCGCTTCGTAGGCAGATCTAGTCGAGTCGCAACACTTTTTAACTTTTCTAACTCTGTTAAACATTCTTCGTCTTCGTGAATCGTTTGCAGTTCAAATGATTCCCTGACTTTAGGCATGGAAGACTTGCGACTGTGCTGTTGGAGTTCTGATGAGGAGCCCATGTTGATGTGACGAGTGAGCGATGTTCCCAACTCCCTTTCAATTATCAAATGCCTTCGAGCCAGCTACAGATGCGCTTATAAACAAAGAATGCATCTCGACCGACATACCTCCAATTCTCCAGACTCCAAGTTATTACATCTAGTAAACAAAAAGCCGCTGTTGTGACTATAAGTTGAAAAGGAACTATTTTAAAGGTCCCAATGGTTCCTTTTTGGTCACTTTATAACCGGAAGCGGTTAGCAAATCTTGGTACTACTCACAGGAATCAATACCGCCTTCCGTCTCATAGGTAAGCTGCACGTATTTTCTACTGCAAGTCTTCAGCAGGGAGATGGTTTGCCCAATGAACACTCCCGCGACGTTTCTCCTTATCAGTATTTTGGTTCAAGTTCCACAATGCCAAGTTGGCGGATGTAAAGTCAGGCGGCGATTTCTCGCAGTCAGAGTCAACCTTCGGTTTGTCCAAACAGTTCCATCGAGAAGAGAATCAGTTCCACTGCAATTTTTCACTTAGTTACAGTGAAATCAGCTGCCAACCGCCTAGCGTCGGGACGGTAATACACATTCGATTGCTATGACACTGCAACCGCCAACACTGTAGCAGGCCTTGCGTTGACACCACGCACCAGGAGTAATGTGACAGTAACAACCTGACGGAACCGGGCCACCCCGTTCTGAACTCTCAGCTATTCAAGGTCTTGTTTGGATAGCAAATACTACGTGTGAACCAGGTGAAATCTTGTTCCCAATGCAAATATTATCCAGCGCTTTTTCAATAGCAAGGCACGTCGAAATGCAGCTTCCTTGTGTCGGCCGCGGGTCCTGCTGGCAAGTTTTTTTTTTTCCAATTCAGTGAGGACTGCGTGCAGCATAGTGCAATCACACTCACGTAACCATCGACAATAGCTTCAAGTTGTAGCCTATTGGTTGCGAAAGGAAAAGAAACAGGTGTTCCATATGATAAACCTCGACAAATATTTGTCATTTTTCTGGGGGTATGTCCTTCATAAAGGATGTTTCCTTTTTGCGAGGTCATGTTGATTTCAAACACAACTGCTCAATTCAATAGTTAAATGCAATAATTTCTGAGCACTTTGAAAAATGACATGCCACAGCTCCGTCATGCACATGCTCTGGGACGAAAATAACACAAAGATTATATTACAGAATTTTGGCTCTAAATGAACGACGGAAATGTACTTTTATCAGAACTGAAAAATGAAAACGCAGAAATGTTGTCCGGTGTAATTGAATTTAGCACGCGACGTTTCAGACAGATCGCCAGTCTAAAGCCATTATAATCGAATTTATTGTTCTATTTCACAAACAACACGCCCGGTGGAAGTGTGTGGATTTAGGTGAAATCAAGCCCGTTACTACAATTACGCATCAGATCGATGAACTAAGTGATACTTTCAGCAAAGAAATGTTAATCTTTCAGTTTCTGTGAATCTGAAGTTAAATGGCACTTCCTTTGTCATTGACAGTGTAGCTGCTTATTGACAGTGCGAAATTTCTCCAGGCCAGAGCCTATCAACAGTGCAAAGCCCTATGACCAGGTGCATCCGATTGGCGCGTTGATGAGGCCTACCCAGGGCCTCAATAATTATGATCCTTAGTTTCAACCTTATACCTGCTGAGGACACATAGCCTACAGGAAATACATGTGTAGAATATATATGTTTGTATTATCGCATTCTCTTTGAGCGCTAAGCAAAGCTGACCACTGTTCCTGCATTTGTCTGTGATGGCTTTTTAAAATTTAATCCCATGGTGTGGTAGCCTGAGGCTTCCGTCAATTAGGCAGTGCCTTTAAGTCAGGAGGTAATTTTCATTGTTGCTATCGTCATCACCTGCAGCTCTAAAAGCTAATTGAAATACTGTTACCAAGAATAAACATTGTGAAGCAAATTAAATACACAACCACTGCAGTGGCAATATTTACGCATACCTCAGCTCGTATTAATTAACCAGTTATATATATATTAAAACAGTTATTGAGTCTCCCATTCAGGGTGATGATGAAATTAACGAGGTCAGTTCACTCGGACAGTAATTACACGCGCAACACATGCTAAAGACAAAGACACAAATCAGAAGTATGTTGACGACGAGAAGTTTATAATTGGTAATTTCTGTTCGGTACAAAAATCTGGCGATGATCTCACTGCCCATCCCTGGGTCAAAGGTTGGGATCAATATAGCCTCCAGACCCACTTACACCGTGGGAATTTATGCTTCAACTTTAAACCATTTTCGTTGAGCGTGGGGTTTGGATTATTTTGTTAATGGGGCCTACTTCAGTCATATCCATTGCACTTTGCGTCGGTGCGACTGACGTGCAGCAGCGATACAAGGCAAGTCAGTCAACCACCATCAAATTGCATCGGTGCGTCATGCGTCGCAGGTTCTAAAAAAGGGAGCAAGATTAGGCAATGGATGCTGATTGTTTGCAGCAAAGTTACAGTAGTTTACCAAAGTTCGAACACTGCTCGATCCATAGCATTGAATTGGATGGCATAAACTGGCAGTGCAAAACAAATTTGCATTGGACAGTCGTGACTGGGAAATGAGAATGTGGCCATAATTTCCAAAAAATGTCGAGGGTGAAAGATATATTTTTGTCTTGAATACTGTTTTCCCCCCATTGGGCCAGAATGATCAAAAGGGCGACAAAACCGCATGTCACACTCGCCGTTAGACATCATATCAGCCAGCACTGTATAAGCCTACATGTATATGTATGTGCACGCACGCATGCATGCACTAATGATGTGCATCGGATTTGGTTGACTCGGCCAAACCGACCCAAAACTTTAAAGACATAAACCGAATACGAACCGAAACCGATCTGAGCTCTCCAAACTGACCCGACCCGAACCGACAAAAACATAGCCAAACCACCCCCCCCCAACATCTGATTAGCCAGTGGGCCAATCATCCTTTATTTCATACAAACTGTATCTGTTTTTTTCCTGAATTGTATGAATTATGAATATACTTGTCAGGTGTAGTGGTTTTGTCCCATGTCCTTACGATGTGACCTGCCCTTTAAGTTCCTGCATGTCTGCGAACCATGCACATCGTTCGGTATTCCAATTACTCCGCAATTGCGCATTTAACCTTTTCACGACTTTTCATCATATGCGTGCAAGAGGATCGCGGGCACCAGGTAATATAGAGAGATCGTCGTGCCCTGAAATAGCCTTTTTAAAAAGTTTGGACAGCGGGGTATTTTCAAATGTTTTGTGTATTCAAACGTTTGTTTGAACAAGATTTGTAATCGTCTTTTCGATTGAACGAAACAAAATGTATGTGGAATCGATTACTACATTCCTACGTAAGTTTGTCTATTTTATCTGCCTCGTTTTTTCCCGAAAGAAAAATGCGTAGTTGGCCGAACTGGCTTTAATTTTTATGTACAGCTGAGCGCGCGCGACCGCATCTCCGGTCTACTCGGAATAGTAGTACAGTTCGTGTTTTGATGTACACGTCACTGCTGCTACAAACTTTGGCTATATAAAGGAAATCTATCACATAAATTCACGGTTCGATTTTCAGTTATTTTCGGTTTATTTCGGTTTTTTACAATATAGCCTAACCGACTTGTTCCGAAATCCACAAACGCAACCATGGTAATACCGAATAGTAACAGAAGTAATTAAGCCCTTATGCAGGATTTTACGGAGTGAAGTAATTTATTTTCTGAACAGTTATTTATAGGCCCCTAGTCATTCATAAGGCGAACGTTTCAGTTTATAATGTGCCCATGGCTTTTTAAAAAATGGAAGAACCTGAATGTCACTCCCCTGGGCAGGATTTAGTGTTGTTTGCTTAAATGCATTGTCCTGATATTGTGCTTCATTAAATCCGTGGTTCAAATGAACAGCCCTGACGCTGTTTGAATGCTTACATGATATGCCGAGCTGTTACCCTCATTTAATCCGATAATGTAGACGGCTAATTTCAGCAAAAAGCGCCCGGTTTCAACTACACGCGAGCAATTTCATTATGTATGTGCCTGTACTGACTGCATGTACTTTCTGTATCCGCCGCTGCGCTAAATTCGAGCTGCCACCTGATCCAGCAAAGTTGGAGGTCACGTAGTTGAGACGATGCAACTTCTACACAAATAAGCTTTATTTAGGCGTTATACCAGTAAAACAAATATGACACATACGTGCACTGAAAAATTCCCTTCAATCTGTTATCTTACGAAACTATTCTTAACAGTGCACTCATAAACATTCTATATATCTATCATGTTTAACTGCAAAATCAGCGTCAGTGCGGCAAATAGGTTCGATTTCTCGAGGTTTACTTTTGAACGAATGTTGAATTTCTTCCTGAAGTCTATGCACAGAGGTCGTTGACTCCATCCTGCAGGCCTGCCTCAAAGGTTTTCGAGATAAGATGACACCGGCATGTCAATGGAAACAGCACACGAACATCGAAGTGACTTACCCGTGCAAATTGCTGCCTTCTTCATGCAGTGTATCACTGTTCCCATGCAGCTAAGTGAGCTGAATGCAGGAGTTCCTTCATGTGTCTATCTCGACTGGCTTGCCGAGCTAGCTGTGCCAAACGACGGATGTTGGTTGCTTAGCACACATCGCCTACCGATGACGTATAGAGGCAGCTGTTTGCGTGTAACACGCACTTTCTAATTCGGACCATCCGTGTGAATTATGCATAAATTGATATTTGGAGGACAGTTGATTTAATTACTACATGTATAATGAAATTTACATGTTTTTTTACGATGACGTGAGTGATCTCGTACGTTTATATTCGCTTGCTATAATATACATTCAAGTAATTTTAAAAATGCTGCTAATTTGATGGTTCTCATTTATTTTCACGTTGTTTAATTTTGTTAATGAAATAAATGTTAATTTGTTTTTCAACTTATCTAAATTAGAAATCGCGTTACCATTTAAATTTCGGAAGGTTGTCATTCAATTTAGCACATCTTGATTTCATTGGGATTCGTTTCTTCATTTCTTACTCTCAATTCAATTTATATGTCACCAATCTAGCACTTTGCTCACTCAGAAAAAGTAAGCAAAAGCAACCATGGAAAAAGGGGCTTGTTGCATGGTACAGTTACACTTTTCATTTCTACATGTATTTTATTTTAGTTTTTTTTATGAAGGTGTCGTTTTATAGTGTTGTTTATTTTCTTAGGTACGGATACATTACTCTTATTCATGCAAAGTATACTAATATTTTGCGCTGCGTAAACATCATTGATATCTGAAAATTCTTACAGTTACTTATTTCAGTGTCAGTCGAACAGGTTTCGTGCCTCCATTTCTATTGATGCGGAGCTGTGACTGTTTCGTCCGAAACTGAAGGTTTTCAGACAGACCATTCGAAGTACGATTCTTTCTTTCAATTCGTCTGTACACATTACTCCCATAGGCCTCCCGATCAAGAATTGCTTGCAGATTAACGCGTCCATACAACTTAATCCCGTAATCTGATATTGTATGTGGGTAACAACAGTCGCGCCGAGCATCTCGTCAACCTCATGCCCCTTCTATGCCACAACAATCCTCGCAAATTGGTTTAGGCTAGGATTGGCAGTTGTATTAGTCCAAGCATAATACGTAGCTGACACACAGACATCCAGTCTGCTTGAAGGCTTAATGAGTTGAGATCTGGTGAACGCAAACTTTGTACAATTATAACCTTCTAGAAGAGCAAGCGATAGAAGGGATTATACACATGTTACACGCCAAGCCCTGTCGCCTTGGATGGGGTCCATTATGTCCACTGATTAGCTCAGCAGAGCTTACGTCCTTTGCAGGTCCTCTTCAAAATAAGAACCTCAACAACATTGGTAATGTCTAAAAGGTTAGAGAGTGCGACGTTGCAATCTTAGGAGAGTCTTTCTCAAAGGTAACATATACAGACA